AGGAACACAAAATGAGCAATGTTGGTAGAGTTCTTATTGTTTCAAATAGTTATTAATGAACTATGCCTTAGCTAAACACAAATGACCACAGCTGAGCAGCCACAAACAATAGTCCTAAGCAGCCTAGGACCTTGCCTAACAGATAGAGTTTAGCAAACTCAAAACATAAATAACTCCTCTTGTAGACCAAAACAAAATAGCACAATGCCTTAAAGGCAGACATGACATGAATAGGTGAGATGCACAAAGGGATCAAAGCATGAAATATTGGCAGTTAAGTATAAAACAGATAGGCATATATTACAATCATGGCATATGCACAAATTCACATAGAGGTACAACAACAACAAGGCATTGGATTTGAGAATGGCATATTGGTTGCAAATTGTACATTTTGATTGAAAGCATGAACAGAAAGTTGCAATTTGAAATCAAACCTAGTTTCAAGAACTCAAACACAACATGAATAGCACATGTAGGGATCCTAATCCAAAACTGTCAACAAGGGTCAAAGTCAAGTGAGGTTGTACTGATTACTTCTCAAGCTGTTTGCAACAGAACCATCATAAAACAAATGACTTGTGATGACCATTCCACAATAACTCATGACAGAAAATAACTCAACAACCACAAGACATAATCATATCAAGGCAATGGCAATCCAAGGTAATTACATACTCAAAACAGTTGGCATAATACAAACTAGCAGATTTGCTCATGAACTTCATTTTGCATTTAAACACAAATACACACTAAGCACATTAATCATGTTCATGACAGAGATGGAAGGATAGTAACCAATAACCTTTTGGTAGACCTCCACACAAGCTTGTTGTAGTATGGAATACCTTGAAAATACTTCAGCTGCTGTCCAACCAGAATTTTGATGAAAACAGCTTTCTTGCACTTGAAGGAAATATGAAGAACTTGTGACAAATCTCAAAATAAATGAGAATGAGGTTGCTTTATGTTATGGACAGTTGAGGCATCATATTTTTAAGGTGTATGGATGGTTAGAATGATGAAACCAAGTCTGGACAGAGGTTTGGCAGATTTTGAGTATAAGGTCAAACTTGCTTGGTTTGAGGGTTGACTTTTGGGAGAATGGTGTTTTTGAGTGATTTAAGAGTATGAACACCTTCTACACAACATTTATGGATTGTGAAGATGGTTTTTGGTGGTTTGGAATGTGTGGAATTGAGTTTTGGAAGCCAACTGCCCAAGGCAGATTTTTGAAGAAAACTTGAGATTTTGAAAATGAGGCAAGTAAGAAATGAGTGAGAGTTGTGGTTTCCTCTTAGTTCTAAGAGTTCTCTGGTGTGTCAAATGACATAGAAGGAGCCTCTATTTATAGGAAAATTAAGAGTGAGGACAGATTTGTAACTTGGCACTTTTGGAGGGATTTTGAAAAAGGTAACCCTTGCTTGAGGGTTTGATGCAGCTGCAAAATCAGATCCTTGGCTCAATGTGAGGAGAAAATCAAGTGGAATGAGATACATGAGATGACTAAATAGGGCATAGAGTGCATTTGTCACAGCTGCTACAGTTTGGAGCCAAAAAGTTTCTCTTTCCTCTCTTGAATTCTTTGATTATTTTAATGCCACTTGCTTGCAACTTGTTATTCCTTCAAATCTTTCACTTCTTCTGCATTTTTCTTCACTATACTCTCTAAATATAAGATACAAACATGATCCAAGGGCTGATAATAGGCCAAGTGATCAAATGATTAGTTTGTGAAAAATTGACAATGTGGGACTCAAGTGTTAAAACCTCATCTTGTTAAATTCATAACTCTCAGATCATAAGGGCTATGGAGGAGTTCTACTACATTTTGGAAATCCCTCATGTAGCTCTACAACTTTCATGTTTTCATGAGTTTCATATTCCCAAAGGAACTTGGCCAAAAAACCTCTCAAAGTTGCTGAAAAACAAGCCTAAAAGTGAAAATTTTCTAAGTTACTTTTCCCTCTTGTAATGAATTTGGTCATAACTCCAAATATATGCATTTTCTGATCATGGACCAATTTGTGACTTTTGTAGGACTTTTCAAGAGCTTTCCAATGAGCTTTTAACCAACTCAATTGGATGTGTGGTTAAGGAGTTAGGGTCTTGCCCCTTTCAAAACCCTAATTCCCGACTTTTGCGATTACTTCTCAACCCTTGATCCAATGGTCATGAAATTTTATGGGTAGATGAAATATGTCATTAGGAACATTTTTGATTCACATCTTGAGGTCAGATTCCGTATGAGTGAAGAGTTGACTTTTCGGTCAACCAAACCATCGACCGGTGACTACCGAGTCGACTGTTGATGCTCCGGGCCTTTTGAGGCCTTGAAAATTCTTGAATGGACTTCACTAAGCCATATTAACTTTATGGACCATGATCCCACCATTGCAACACCTTTTAGATCAAAAGTCAAACCACAATTGACTTTTCCTGCTCGAAAACCCTAATCAGGTATCCTGAACTTCACTGTTTTTGATTCTTGGGTGACAACCTCAAATTGGATTCATACTTGATCCAATGGAATATACTTGACGATGTGGAGACCTATCTCAAAGAGAACCAATCCAAAACATTGACTGGTTAACCCTCGAAACCTCGATTTCGGCTGTACAAAACCCTGATTCTCCTGTAACTTGACAAAGACAACTTGAAACAGGTTAAGGTTAGATAATCAAATGAGTATGATCCTAAAATGATGATGAAGATCTAAGGGGTCAAAATTTGGGTTATGACAATAGTTAGACATGATTCTATTTTTCAACTCAAGTGCTAACCACCACTAAGACATAGATATGATTTTTTCCATAATAACCTCTGAATTCTCGACCTCATCGTTGAAGATTATTTGGTTTCTTGAAAACCAAATGCACCAGCAGGAGGTAAACCAAATCAAGCATGATGATTGAATAGAGCACCTATTCCTTAATCTCACAAACCAAGCCAATAGCGATTCACAACAATCTTCCTCAATAACGCAAGGAATATCTAGCCATTCACAAACCCTCTTCCACACCACCCTTGTTTTATGGCATGTGCATAAAACATGGTTGATATCCTCTTCAAATTGGAAATAAAACACGCAAACAAATTCATGTGGATTATGAATAATGTCACGTGCAACCAAATTATTTCTTGTTGGTAGTCTATCCAACAAAACCCTTCAACCAAACACCTTCACTTTCATAGGCATAGAAGTTTCCCATAGTAATTTCAATGCCAACTTGGTTTCACTTTAAATCACAATCCCATTTTCTATCACTTGTTAAACTCTATCATAATAAGAGGCCACAATATATATGTTATTATCACTCCACAGTCAGATGCAAGAATCAACAACACCATGCAAAGGTTGCACCTCAACCAATAAATTATGCAGATTTGTATGATCATCTTGCAATTGAACACTTTCTTCAAAAATTAATGCATAAACATTCCAAGCCCAAAAGTCTCATACCCAACTCCCCACCTCATAATCTATTATTGATTTCAAACCTGTAGCAGCAAAAAGATCAGGAAAAACATAACTGAGGGAATGTTGGCCAATCCATTTGCTCCTCCAAAACGAAATGAATTCTCCATTTCCAAGTATACACTATAATGAGTCATTAAAAAAACCCTTCTCCAATTAATCCCCTAATTTCATTAAATCTCCCCACCGCGGAGATTCTTCGACAGTACTTACACGAGTTTCATGTGTTAAAATCCGTCTCGCCAAATTTCCATATTTATGCTGAAGAACCCCTCTCCAAATTGCATCTTTATCCATTAGCAATCTCCATAACAACTTTTCATTCAAGGCTCTACTAAACACACTAATATCTCTTATTCCAAGGCCCCCAATTTCTTTTGGGCTACAAACTAAACTCTAACTCACCCAAGCCACTTTGTTCTTTTCACTGGTCTAGCCCATAAGAAACTTCTTTGAATGTAAAATATCTCTTTTAAAACCATGACAAGGGCTTGAAAGAACGAGAGAAAATGAATTGGAAGGCTTATTAAGATAGAGTTGATTAAAGTAACTCTCCCTCCAATAGACAACATCTTACCTTTCCATGTTGAGAGCTTTGATTTGAAATAGTTAATGATTGGTCTCCAAAATGAACAAGATCTATGATTCCCTCCCATATTTAATCCAAGGAACTTAAAAGGAATGTCTCTAACTCTATAGGCCAAAAACATAGATGATGCCTCCATGAAAGCTTGATTAACTCCAACATCTAGTAAGTTACTCTTCCACGCATTAATATTTATACCCGAAGCCATTTCAAAACCTCTGAGGATGACTTTGAGAGCCCAAAGGTTAGACCAAATCGCATCATAAATCATAATTGTATCATTAGCATATTAAAGCAGGTTATAACATGTATCAGTATTTAATGACAAGCCTCTAAGAATGCCCACTCGATTTTCCCTTCCAACTATTAAGGTCAATCCTTCAACCACAAGAGAGAAAAGAAAAGGAGACAAGGGATCGCATTGTCTCAATCCCCTTGAAGCCCTAAAGTCCTTTGTTGTGCCTCCATTAACCAAGATAGAAATGTGACTTGTAAAAACTCCACCTCTCATTCAATTCAACCATCTCTTCCTAAAATCCATATCTTTCAAAATTCTCACAAGAAACTCCCAATCGACGCAATCATAAGCCTGTCCATAATCGATTTTAAACATAAGGAAGTTGCCTTTCTCTCTTTTAGCAAGATCCAGAAGCTCATTTGCAACTATGATGCCATCATAAATGTTTCTCCCCTGAATGAAAGCTTCCTGAGTCTTTGACACCAACTTACCAATGACAATTCTCAGACGCGCAGCCAGTAATTGCAAAATGATTTTGTAAATACACCTAATGAGGCAAATAAGGCGGTATTCAGCTAATTCCTAAGGGTTCTCTACTTTTAGGATCAAGCCAATGAATGAAGATGTCATTGATTTAGGAAGTGATGTTGAAGATGAAATTCAACAATGCAATTAATGACATTCCTCCCTATAATTTCTCAGCAATTCTTCAAAAAATCTAGATTGAACCCATCTAGTCCCGGGCATTTTGAATTGTCACAATCAAAAACTGGTTCACGAATTTCATCAGCAGTGAACACCTTTTCAAAATCTTCACTTTCTTCATTGTTTAGCTCTGGTATATCATCAGCCTTAAGGATATGCCTCACAACCCCCACCTTCTTGAAATGGTTCTCAAAGAACTTGAAGATGGCTTCTTTAATCTTGTCCACTTCTTCTAACATTATATGAAAATACCTAGTGTGTCCTTCCATCACCCAATTCATCTTCGCCTTCTATTTGATTAAACTTTCTTGTAATTTCAATTTGTTCCATAATTCCATATTTGTTATACTTCTATCCAAAATTGGCTTCTCCTTATCAACAGAACTCACTGCCTCCATCTTAAGAGCATCAACCTTTTCATCAATGTTAAGTTCCACCCAACCAAATACTTCTTTATTACAAAGCCTTAACCTTCCTCTAGTCACTTTAAACTTTTCATTTAGAATATGCGCAACACTTCCTATTACCTTGATTGCATTCCATTCCAATTTAACAAAATCTAAGAACTTCGGGTGATCAAACCAGAAGCTAAAGACTTTGAAAGGTTTTGCTCCCCAATTCAGTTTGTTAGCTTTAATCCATAACGGTCTATGGTCAGACATATCTCTAGCCCCAACTTTTTTAGCCACCAAATTCCATGTGTTTATAACTCCTACAGTAAATAACATTCTGCCTAATCTACTCCTACATCTTCCATTATCCTTGAACCATGTATAATTACTCCCCACCACCGGAAGGTCAATCAGGTCCATAGATTCTATAAATGTCTAAAAATCCTCCAATTCATACCAGTTTATCCTTCCAACACCACTCCTTTCCTCAGCTGATTTTATTGCATTGAAATCTCAAGCCATTATTCATTCTCTTTGAGGGACTTTGTTCTTCGATCCTATTAAGTCCATATACAGCTTTCGTTTTTCTACCTCACCATACGGAGCATAAATATTAACAAAATAAAAATTCAAACCCTTCCACCTTGCATTGATCCCTAGGAAACCAGACCCTATAAAAATAAAAATTGGGCAGATAACATTATTTTTCCAAATTGTTAACATACCTCCTGACAGTCCTCTTGCATTGGCTGCAAACCATCCATAATTATTATTTCCCCAAACACTCTGAACAACTTCTTCTTTCATCCCTTTATATTTCGTTTCTTGAAGAAAGCAAATATCTACCTTCCCTTCCGAAATTGTTTTTCTTATTCTTCTTCTTTTGATAGAACTTCCTCCTCCCCGAATATTATAAGAAGATATATTCATGTATCCCTTTCAGCTACCTCTAACTTGTCCTGGAAAAATTTCGTGTCTCTTTCTTTCATGTTTCTTACAATTCCCTTAAATAGTTCATCATCCTCTTCGCTTTAAATGCCCAGGTCCTTGATCGTTTGTGAAACTTTACCAAGAATCCCCTCCTACGCTCTTCTCTCCCTTGAATTCTCTTGATTTACATCAGATTCGTTAAGAAAATTACAACACAAAATAGACCCACATGAATTTCTTGAATTTGAATCATCCCTTTCAGCATTCAGGTTAGAATTAGAGATGTTGGCACCGCTTCTTTATTGATCGAGTGGATAAGGGAAGAAAAATCTAAAGGAGAAAAAGGAATCTTGATATTTTCATATATATCATTTAATAACTTCTTTTTCCTTGATTTGGGCCTTGGATTAGTTACTACTAGCCCACCAGGCGAAGGAAATTTTACCTCATACCCCATCATTTATTCCCCTACTCCTATATTATATATTTTTTTACCAAAATATCCTCATATAAATAATTGTAAATTTTTCTTGATTTAATTATTTGATCCATAATTTAATAAATAAATCTATTTTTAAAAACTACTTTATTAGTATTCTCAGCAAATATGGCAAGTATTATCTATATCTATTATATAATCTTATAATGTTTCCATCAAAGATTATCTGCTAATTTTTTTTAATTAATTAATTAATTAAATATAAATATATTTATTATTAACTCTATCATTTAAAACTTCTGACTAAGTCACATTCTTATATTTTAAATAATTATTAATTAACAAATGCAATAAGATACGTCCTGAATTATTTTAAAAATACAGTCACCTACCAATAATATATTTACCATAGTAACTACCCAACATAACTTTTCTCTTCATTCTATTAATTAATCTTTTATTATTAATAATTAAATATTATTATTATTATTAATTAAATAATAATTAAATTAAAATATTTAACATGTTTATTTCTCAATTTTCTCTCCACTCAACCCTCTCTATTTATATCATACAAACAATTAACATCTCTCTAACCCCACAATAATATGACATATAATAATATTAAATTTAAAAAAAAAGTAAATAAATTAGAAATATAATGCAAATCTTAAAATTACTTAATACAAAAATAAATTAATAAATATAAATTTAAAACCAAAAATAAAGGCAAAGATTAAACTAATCATAATGCAAATCTTTATTTTATTTTTGGTTCTCTATTTTTCTTACTATTTCTTTGATTACTCTTATTTTTTCTTAACTTTGTCTTTTTTTTTTTAAACTTCAAGAGCATTTTTATGTGTTTTTAGTAATTTTAAAAAGTTTTAGTGATAACAAAGTTTTTCTTCTTTTAGTTTAATTTCAAAGTCTATAGTTAGAAATTTTAAATTTTTGTGATTAGTTATTTTGATTTTTATGATTAATGGTTTTCATTTTATAATTGATTTTAATTTTGGTCTTAGGAATTATAATTCTTAATTATTATTAAAAAAATAAACAAAAAATGATAAAATCAAAATACAAAAAAAATATATTTAGTTCTTTGGATTAATTTGAAGAATGTGAATTTTTGTAAGTGTCTATTGGACTTCGTACGTGACTTAGGTGTGATATTGAATCATCATTAGAGATTTGTGACCTTAATTTAATTATTATTTAATTAATAATAATAATATTTAATTATTAATAATAAAAGATTAATTAATAGAATGAAGAGTAAAGTTATGTAGGGTAGTTACTATACTAAATATATTATTGGTAGGTGACTGCATTTAAAAACAAATTCAGGACGTGTCTTATTGCATTTGTTAATTAATAGTTATTTAAAATATAAGAATGTGACTTAGTCAGAAGTTTTAAATGATAGAGTTAATAATAAATATATTTATATTTAATTAATTAATTAAATAAAAAAATTAGTCGAGAATCTTTGATGAAAACATTATAAGATTATATAATAGATATAGATAATACTTGTCATGTTTGATGAGAATATTAATAAATTAGTTTTTAAAGATAGATTTATTTATTAAATTCTAGATCAAATAATTAAATCACGAAAATTTTACAATTATTTGTACGAGGGTATTTTAGTAAAAAAATATATAATGTAAGGATAGGAGAATAAATGATGGGGTATGAGGTAAAATTTTCCCAGGCGAACAAGATATTAGGTTAGATTCAACAATGTCCCGACCCAATAACTTTCTTTGACTCCCCAAAACAAGAGGTCCTTTTTTCCACCTCGGCAGGCTCTTCAACATTTGTTTTCTTATTCTGCATTGGAGGACCCATTGACCCACGTCTCATCAACCCATTACTATGATTACTCTCAAAAAACTTTTTGGAGCAAACTTCCTTATTATTTGTCTCTTTGGCCTTATTCTTCCTTCCAACACACACATTTTCACCAAGTTTTAAGGTACTGACCACCAACGCCCGTTGCAGTGCTGCATCTGAGCACACGTGGCCTCAAAAGTGAATTTTTACTTTCGGCACTTCTTTTCCTACTTGGTAGGTCTCAGAACCATCATTAATACTATTTTGCTTAGTAACATCGTTGTCTGAGCCTTCAACATTTTCTTCCTCGTACTCATTCCATGCCATGCGAACTTCGAAACACTTTCCTCCGACCCCACCCTTGGATCGACCAGACATTTTGGTCCATGTAAATCTTCAACCAGTTTCAACTTATAGACATTATTATTTATGTCCACGTTGAACACTTCGTTCAAATTCAAACAATATTTCGTTTTTACCAATATTTTTGCCACATTTAACCTCTTTAATTGTTGTGTCTCAATATCACTGCAAATATATTACATACATAGAAATTGTGTAAAAATTTAATTACTTAAAAGTATAGTTACAAAATATATTAAGTTTTATTTTAATAAATATATCAATTTGGATTTTTTTTTATGTTGGCATATATCAATTTGGACTAAAATATATAACTTTTATGTTATTAAAAAATATATAATTATTTATTTTTAATACATAAAAATATACTAAAATATATCTAAAAATTTGGGTTACAAAATATTAGCCTTTGTAAGGTCTAAAAATAACATAGTCAAAATATTTTGAACCTATATACTTAACCTGTTACCTTATATATAATTAGTTTTAGGGTTTGAGTTCAACAATTTTAAAGTTTGATATGACTTGTAAATTTTTTAAAAAAATATTTAAGATCATATGTTGAAGGCTTTTTTTATATCAAATTTTTATTTTTTTTATAAATATATTATCTTTAAATATATTTAAGAACATTATTTAATATTAATGTATTTTTTTTTATATGTAGACAAAGTAATAATGTTAGAACAATTACGCGAATACAAATTAGTGTAAAAAGAAACACACAAAAGTTGCATTTACGCAGTATGACCGAATTTCCTACGTCTTCAATTATAAAGTAACTATAGTTCGGTCTTATTGATTCATTATGAATTTCACACAATTAGGGTTTCAGTGTTACAAACATATATAGGGATACTAATGATCTGGATTACAATAATACCCCTAAAATGGCCCCTCCCCTTGTCCACTTGACATTACCTATGAGGCGAACTCAACAATATCCACCTTGACAAATATCAAACCCCTATGAAGATTAACTGCATAATGTCATATCCTAGCAACTGGGGTTGTGTAGTTCTAGTTTAACATTGAGAAACATGTAACTAGTTCAAACAGTGTTTGAACTTGTTACCGGTGTCTGGCTTGGTCAACATATCAATTGCATTATCTAAAGTGTGAACCTTTTGAAGTAATATATGTTTGGACGCCAACAACTCCCTGATCTTGTGGAACCTCACATTAATATGTTTGGTCCTAACATGATACACCTGATTGTTCATCAAATAGATAGCATTTTAACTATCACAATGCAACCCAATTCCATCTTGCTCAACACCCAAATCTTACACTAACCCTGTAAGTCATAATGCTTCCTTGACAACTTCAGCTACTACCATGTATTCTGCCTCAGTTGTAGACATAACTATTATGGATTGAACTGATGATTTCTAGCATATAAATCCCCAGAAAGACTAAAAATAAGCTATGTTATAAACCTCTTATCATCCAGAATACTTGCATAGTAAGAATACCCTGATCCATGTTGGACATGATAACATGACCCGTTGTACCCTTCAAGTAGCTTAGGATCCACTTGACTGCTTTCTAATGATGCTTCTCTGGCTTGGACATGACCTTGCACACTTGAGTAACTGTTTGTGCCAAATCTGATCTAGTGCAAACCATAGGATACATCAAACAACCAACTGCACTTGCATAAGGAATCTTAGATATACCTTCAATGTCTGAGTCTGTCTTTAGACATTGTTCCAAAGAGAGCTTAAAATGATTCTCCAACAGAGTACACACAAGCTTTGCCTTGCTCATGTAAAATTTTCTAAAAACACCTTCAACATAGCTTTTCTGAGACAATCATAATTTATTATCTCCTCTGCCCCGATGA